TTCTTTCTGCAAATCGGGATGGTTTATTCCTGCAACCTCAATCCATATCACTCTGAATTGGTGACCTATCCTTGTCATTATTTACCACTCACCCAATTTTTATTATTTGCAAATTTGATCAGTGATGATTTTATATTTTCTTTCAGGGCATTGATAAATTTTTTAAATAGCATAGGGCCAGGAACCAATCCCTGCGGGACCTAACTGGAAACCCACCCACTTAGATGATGATTCTCCATTTACAATCACATTTTGAGACCCATCTGTTAGCCAGTTTTTAATCAAATGAATGTGTGCTGTTTTAATTTTATGCCATTCTAGTTTTTTAATCAAAATGTTGTGTGGGACCAACTCAAATGCCTTACAGATGTCTAAGTATATTAAGTCAGCACTATTGACTTTATCTACCAAACTTATAATCTAATAAAAAAAAAGATAACAAATTAGTTTGACAGGACCTATTTTCCATAAACCCATGTTGATTTGCATTAATGACATTACCCTCCTTTAATTCTTTATTAATTGAGTCCCATATGAGCCTTTCCATTATCTTGTCTAGGATCGAAGTCAGGCTGACAGGCCTATAATTACCTGGGTCATCCCATTTATTCTTTTAAAACACTCGCACAACATTATCTTTCTTCCAGTTTTCTGGAACTTCCCCAGTGCTCCAAGACTTATTGAAAATCAACATTAATGGTCCAGAGAGCTCCAAGGCCAGCTCTTTTAAAACTCTTGGATGCGAATTATCTGGACCTGCTAATTTAAATATGTCTAAGATCAGTAGCTTCTGTTTAACATCCTCCAGAGAGACTAGTGGAATGGAAAGAGTGTTATTACTGTAGGACGAGACTGCATCATCTGTTTTTCCCCAAATACAGAACAGAAATATTTATTGAATACTTCTGCCTTTTCTGCATTATTATTGATAATTCTAACATTTCCACCTACTAATGGACCAATACCACTGAAAGGATTCTTTTTGTCCCTAATATATTTAAAAGTAATCCTTCTTATTGTCTTTAAGTCTTCAGACCATACTTTTCTTCTTGTGTTCCTTTGCTTCTCTTATCAATTTTGTACAGTCCCTAATTTATTATTTATATTCATTACTATCAACTTCCCCTTTCTTCCATTTGTTATAAAAAAAATATTTTTTTATAGCTGCCTTCACTTTACCTCTAAACCAGGTGGTTGTTTTTTAACCAGCACTGCCTTTTTTCTCAATTGTGGGATTGTCTCTTTCAGGACCTCTAGTAAGGTGTTCTTAAATGATTCCCAGTTATCACTGAAATTTTTCTGATTAAATTCTTCCTCCCAGCTCATTTGGCTCATAATTGTTTTCAGTTTTGTGAAATTGGCGCTATTAAGTATATATATTACTGAACATTATTCTGCTTGCACGTTATAAATGTGAACAAGTCATGATCACGTGTACCTAAGCTACAATTTGTTTTTAGTTCTGTAATCAGTTCCTCTTTATCTGTTAAGACAAGGTCTAATAAAAATTCCCCCGTGTTGGTTGCATTACTTTTTGAGTTAGGAAATTGTCATCTATAATGTTTAGAAATTCCAAGGATGTTTTAGTATTAGTATTAGCAGCATGAGACCTCCAGCATATGTTACTCACATTGATGTTCTCCCACTATCACCAAGTTTTTCCCCTACACATTATTGAGAAGTGTGTAAGGAGGTGATCATCCTGTTTCATAGTGTAATTTGGTGGTCTGCAGCAGATACCAACTAATACTCCATCTTGTGCTTTATCTGTTAGCACACTGATCCATAAGCATTCAAGATCTTTTTCTTCTAAGTTATCAGTGACGCAAACAGGTAATGCCATTTTTGACATAGAGTGCCATTTCACCTCCTTTTTTGCCCACTTGATCCTTCCTAAATAGGTTATAACCATTGATTTTAACATTCCAACAGTGTTTACCATCAAACCAGGTTTTTACCAACTAGATTGAATTTATGCTAAAAAATGAGCAATTCCAATTAATCTTGTTTATTACCTAGAATCCTAACATTGGTGTATAGACAATTCAAGAATTTCTTCTCTTTATGTCATTTAGTTCTTTGACTAATTTTGTTTTCAGCATCTCTATTTTGTGCTAACTGATTGCTCATAAATAAATAAATAAATAAATAATCTCCCCCCTTTGTGCTGCCCCTTTTGTGTTTAGTTTAATCCCATCCTGAATACTCTAGCCAGCCTGTCCTCAAGGAGATTGGTCCCCTTTCTCCTGCGGTGGAGGCCATCTAAAATATACAGCTCCCTCTACCCACAGAAGGTGGACCCATGTTCCACAAAACCCTACACCCTACGGCACTTACTTTGCCAGTGGTTCACGACCAGAATCATGTGTCTTTTTTCTCTCATGGGACAGGAAAAATATTAGAGGAGATTGCTTGCATATTCTTCTTCTTCATCACTTTGTTGAGTCCCCTGAAGTAATCTACTATCTGTGTGATATCCCACGACACAGTGTCATTAGTCCTTGTCTGTCGACTTCAGAAGGCTATCCAATCTTAGAGCGACGTCTAGTGTCTTGGCTCCGGGAAGGCAGCACACTGTTCTGTTGTCTGTCTGTCCTTTGCAGAATGTTCTTTTGGTTCTTCTGAGTATTGAATACCCAACAAGGATCATCTTTCTTTCTAGAATGTTTGGAAGACTCTTTGCCAGCAAGCTTGATTTTCTTATTGCTAGGGCCAAACTGCCATCCACATATGTGTCCTGTACACCTCTCCATTCCCTTGGATCTGCTGGATCTTGAGAGGTATCTTGGAAAGTTTTCATGTTGAGGACCTGATATCGATTTGAAACTTCTAGTTGTGTGGAATTCCTCTCGTTACTCTTCTCTCTGGTGGCCACCGTCTGCTCATTCTCATCTGTCTCTAGCCATGTAGAATTCCACAGTGACCTCTTGCCTCTGATGGTTATGAACCACCAGGCCTCCTCTCTGACTTCACTGAATACCCCAATTGCTTTGGGTTTGTTCGTCCTAAATGTTCTCTCATGATACATTCTCCCTTTCCTTTGGTTCTTTAGCTTTTCTTATTATTTGGACAGGATAGTGCCAACAACATATCAGGCACTTTACAGATAGATGAAAAGACATGGCCTTTGCACCCAAAGAGCTTGTGCTCTAGACAGACCACATACAAATGCAAGGGGGAGGGGGGGAAGACAGGCAAGAAAAAGCAGGGTGAATGTGTAGAGCAGTGTGGCACTCAGACTTATTGCTTCCATGATATTATGGACATTTATATTGTGAACACTTCCCTCTGCAAGGACTAGGGCTTGTCAGAAGATATGTGTTTAAGGAGGATCTTTAGGAAAACCCCTCCTGCTTCAGAATATAAGCCAACTTCTAACTATTGGGGTCAGGAAGGAAACTTTCTCTGGGGGACAGGTTATTCCTTAACTACCTATTGTGGGGCTTCTTACACCTTCCCTTGAAACATTCAGTGCTGTCCACTGTCAGTGACAGGATACTGGATTAGATGGACCATGGATTGGATTCAGTCTGGAAATTTCCGTGTTCCTAGGAGGAACAGGCAGAGGTGTTGCCAAGCAGGTCAGGTGAGGGCTCTGGGCACAAGGACGACACTTTCTTCTCTGTCTCTCATATTTCATCTGTCTCCTTTAACATTTGAAACAATCTCCATAGCACTCACCCTGTGCTAGTTCCTGACTCGCCCTTTCTCCTGTGCCTGCATGATTGCCCTCCTTCCCACTCTTTCCCAGGACCTCCTACTGTGGCACTGGCCACTGCTGATGGCAGACATTTGCTGTCAACTTTAAAGTGCTGAATCCCCCTGGAGGAGGAGTTCAGTGTTGCTGGTTTCAGTAGCACAGAGCAGATCCCAGTGGGATGAATTCTACTGCCGCTTGTGTGAGGTCTATGCCATTTGTACTGGGTGACACTTGATGTGTGATTAGGTGAAGGAAATTATCTGCTGCAGGAAACAGAATTTACACTTGGCCCTGTAGCTCTTTCAAGTTGTGCTAAACAGAAAATAAAACCTCACAACAATGCCATGCATTTGGAATACAGCATAAGCTGGAAACTTGCAGACGATCCCTTAAGGGCCTGCTCCAAAGTGCTCTCCTACCCACTGTGGATCAGACACAAAGAGGGCTGCAGAATGGACACTAAGGGTACATCTACACTACCTGTGGGATCGGCGGGTAGCAATCACTCTATCGGGGATCGATTTATCCCATGTAATATAGACGTGATAAATCGATCCCCGATCGCTTTCCTGTCGACTGCTGAACTCCAGCTCGGCGAGAGGCGGAAGCAAAGTCGACAGGGGAGCCGCGGCCGTAGATCCCGCGCCATGAGGATGCGAAATAAGTAATTTTAATTCGATCTAAGATACGTCGACTTCAGCTACGCTATTCTCGTAGCTGAAGTTGCGTATCTTAGATCGACCTCCCCCCCAGTGTAGACCAGCCCTAAGGGTTAAATACTTCCGAATGATAATGGAAGTTCACACCTAGTGCCCCAGGCTCACAGCCATTCTAATCGGGGCAAGTCCCAATTTTTATAACAACCATCACTGGGGATCAAACCAGGCTAAAAGTATGAGCCTCTAGAGTTTTCTCTGGGAGCTGTAACAGAGCTGTGGTTCTCTAGGGGTCAGGACATGTAACACACACTAACCAGTGCGTTACCCAGAGTTCCTTTTAAATGACATGGATAATTGTCTTTGTCTTGCCATTCACTCAATTGTTTGACAAAGCCTCCTTCCTCCCTACCTTTATACTCTATTCTGACTGACTATGACTATTTATAGACCAAGCAGAATTGCATTATGACCCTGACGCATGATTAATGGCTTCCAGTTTGGATGACTGATCGCCTACATCAGCTTTAATCACACTGGCTTCATTTGCTATTGAATCATCTGGAAATGGCACTTGTGGCTCACCATATAACAACATGCAACAAGACAGGCAGAGGCATAAAATTCTCCACTGGTTGGCTTACCTATGTCTGAAATCTTTATTTCTGACAGACGGCAGGAAAGCAGGGAATAGAAGAAAGTATGAGGTGTTAGTGGCTGAGTTAGAAGCATTATTAGCAGATTGAAAACTTGACAGTAACTGTACCATACAATGCAATAATAAATAAAGACTTAGCAGGCATGACACTGATATACTTTATATTGGATATTACTTGTCAGTGAGTTCACTTATGTACTGCTGCATATCACAAAGGAAGTATGATCTCACCAGCTCAGAGGTACTCATTTATGCAGGAGATGGGGTCAGGCACACTTCACACACAGAGACACTCACTACATTTAATTATCTGTCATGGAATATAATGTCAGGATAGAAGCCTGTTTCTTTAGTAAGCTTTACAGCTTTTTCACTGTCGCTGATTGTGGTTCTTTCTATTTTACAAGGCAATATATCAGCAGAATTGTTCTGGCCAACTTCTTTTATGTTCACTGCTTGAATCTCAGAGACACTATGGCGCAGAATTCAAGTAAGATTTTTTTTTCATGGGCCAAGTTACATACCCCATTGTAATTAGCTGGAAGCCACATTGCAGCTGCCTCTCCTCTCCAGAAAAGAGCACTACACTCTAATAAGAGACTGTACCAAACAGTGGGGGTGTGAATCTCAAAAGAAATGCTGCTTGAGGAGGCACAGATACAATCCATTTAGACCAAAATAATGGCTTTCCCCCATAGCTTTTAGTCAACCTGCATCTGTACCCATTTAATTTATAGCACACGTGAGTTAAGAAGTGCTTTTTGGCCCCTGTAACCTAAGTGTTTGCACAGATAAAGCAGTAATGGCTCCAGAAGGATTAATATGGGAGTAAATTAAACTTTGTGGCTCTTTGGAGAATCCAACAAGGTCACTTTTTCAAGGTTTCCAATTTGCTCTTTTGGAATCAGGGACTGTTCCACCAAACCTATACGCACAGGGTGTTTCTAACAATGCTGAAATACAAAAAGAACTCAGGGTGGGATTTCCAAAACTCCCTAAGGAAGCGAGGCACCCAACTCCCATGCCATTACCGTGGGGTTTGGGCACCTATCTGCCTTAGGCTCCTTTGGAAATCACAGCCTCCATCACTAAAATAATCTTTCAGCACTGGAAGGATGCTCTGCACCTTAATGTAGGCCACCATGGAATCATTCCTCAATATTTGGAGTCCCACTCCGGGTATCGTACTCAAGCTGTGGCTCGCTCAGAGAAGTGACTGTAAATATGTTATCATGGAGTTCCTTGTTTGTTGACTCTCCATAATTTCCATCTTGAATGAGCTCAGGTTACATAGAAAACACCATGTCTTCTAAGTGCCAGCCCTGGGATCTCAGCCTGGATTCTTTTCTTCTTGTACATCAGCACCCATAATAAAGGTCCTGCAGGCCCAATTGGGCCCTCAGTGGCACCCAATGAAATTCTGTGGGTTTGCACAGGTGTACTGACTAGTAAACAATTCTGTTGTTGATGCGCAAGAAAAAATAGAATCTAGCTCACTCTCTTTTAGCGGCATTGATTCCTCAGGCGAAAAGGAGTATAATGCAATGCAACCTCGGCACTGATCCTGCAACGAGCTGCGGTTGAGTCAATGAAGGTCCTCGTTGTAGGACTGGGGCCGTATTTTTGTCAGCAGACATGACTCGAAATACAAATCTGCTGAGTAAGTAGGGACCATTTTTACAGTCACGTCTCAGGGGAGTGAGAAGTATCACACTTTTAGGCCAAATCTTGAGACATAGCAAGCACATGGGTCTTCTGGGAGCTGTGGGTGCTCAGAGCTTCTCAGAAACTGGCTCTTACAAGTATCCTGTTAGTACCGAAAAGATTCATCTATGCCCATTTCCCTTACATCCCACTGGGATGCTGTACATTATGGATGAGTTCTTGGTAGCTGTTTGTGTGTGTTGGCAGGAGGGGTTTGGTATGTTTGGGTTTCAAAAATGCAATGAATACTTTCACCAGAAAAAAAGCAGAGAAACAACAACAAGCGTTTTGGAACTACACGCCAAAAGGGAAGCATTGGGCACGTCTGCACTAGAGCTGTGGAGGGCTGTTTCAGAGCATTAAAAATAAAGTCTTATCATGTAGCATCCCACAGTCTGTGACTGGGATTCGCCAGATAACGAAATGCCATTTAAAACTAAGAAAAACTGCATGGATTTCTGTCAATAGGTTAGTCAGTGTAAAAAAAATTCAACAACCCGTCTTTATCCTCATGTGTGCAATGTACTGGTTAATGAGTGCTTGGACCAAAGCGTATCACTGACTAGACATCTTGACACACATATCCATGTAAAACTCCCAATACAGAATTATTCACCAATGGACAGTTTAATCTCCACTCCAGTTACAAACATGTTGTATTAGGGCCTGTTCCAAAGCCCATTGAAGTCATTTGTTAGGTTCCCATTGACTTCACTGGGTTTCAGATCAGGCTCTTAAGGCAGAGTCATTGAGCCTGATTCCGATGTCCCTTACACCAGTTTAACTCTACTGCCTTCCATGGAACTAATCCTGGGTAGCCCCAGCATGAGATCAGAATCAGATCCACTGCCTTGAACAGGGCAGTGTGTTTGTCATGAAATGTCTGGGAGGGAAAATATCACAGATGAGTCAACACAAACGTTGACTCGGTCACAATATATTTTATTTCATCAACATTTATGACTCATCTGTATTCTCCCCCCACCCCGATTTCCTTCCCTCCCCTCTTTTGTGCTTGCTGCTTTGCAAACCTCTCTCTTCCTACTGGAAGTTTTCTCTTCACTTTTCTGCGGGGGCAAGTGGCAGCACTTCATCTCCCTGCAGGGGAGATGGACAGAATTTCTTCACCCAGCCCCTATTTTTCAGTGGAGAATTCGCTGGGGGTGTTTGTATGTTTGTCCCAAAAAACCCACCCAGAAGTCACAGACTCTGGGAGTTCCTTGGTGAGCTCACTGTCCTAGGTATGAATGATCCTCTGTCCTGAGTACCCTCCACATATCATCATTAGTGATGTGTGTCCTTCCAAGTGTAGGTTATCCCGGAGGCTGACTGTTAATTTTTAGAATTCCCACTAGTCTCTCACCAGACTGAGGAGGACACATTAACTCAGTCTGAGTTAGCGGGTAAGAAATGCGATAGACTATTTTGGGCCTGTGATTCCATTCTGGATGAATTCACTAGGTCGCACGCCTTCCTGGTGTAAGTCAAAGTCAGTGGACTTGCACCAGAGGTGAATTTGGCCCATTCTGTTAGTTTAAAAAAAAAAAGAGTTTGGGTTTCATTTTCCCTCTGGGTACATAACATTTCTGCAGAATCAAAGGTGAACAATTATCACGGGCTGCGAGCTGCCTGGTGTACCTGAGCTCCAGTATGTTGGTGACATTGCCAGAGGGAAAGATCCTTCGGATGTAGTTGAAGTCTCCAACATAAAGGCTTCCATCAGATCCGCATGTTAGGGCAACAGGAGCCAGGAGCTTGTTCCCATCTGCAAGGCCATTACAGCTTGGACAGGAAATGCTACGCCTGCGTCCATTGCCCATAATGCTTCCTATGACAGGCGGCTGCTGAGAGACAAACTGATTTTCCCCATTTCCTTTATGCAAGATGCCTAGAAAACGATAAGAGCAGAAAGGGAATTAAACAGATGGTGAAACTGAAGCACACGGAGGGCATGCGACTTGCTCCAGGTCACAGAATGAATCAATGGCAGCACAGGAAATAGAACCCTGGCGTCCCAGCTTCCAGACTCATGTTGCACCACACCACAAAGAGATCTCTCCAGGATTGTCTCTAGGTACTGTGGGATCCTGTGAAAAATGAGATGTCCAGGGCCCATGGCAGGCTGCTGTAACTCCTAGAGCACAGTGTTTCTCAGCCTTTTCAGGTTGCCGCCTCCCACCCCCCCATTTACTATAAAGATATATCGATGCTAACAATGGTCAGCCTCTGTAATTTATTTGTGTGGGTGTTTCAAGGGGTTGGCAGAGATGACTTGACCTTAACGGTGAGTGGCTAGGTGGGAAACCAAGCTTTTCTTTGCTTTAGAGTGTAATAAAATGTCCAATGCCTCACAATCCTCTGATTGCTATTTGGGGCCCTCCTGGGGGTTGCGACCACGGGTTGAGAAACACTTTGGAGATTGGAAGGTCAAGATAATTCCTTGTCACTAGTGAGAGAGGGTATCCACTGGGGTTGTCTGCTGGCAAGGGACATGCTGGGTGGTAGTAGTTCACTTAGGAAAGTCTGAGTGGAGTATTAACTGGGGTAGGTTTCGTCAGCAGGGCCCAGGGGAACTTATATGTTGTTTGTGAGAAGACCAGAAAAGTTTTCATTAGTGGTGCCACCTGAACTGGGGCTACTCTCTCCGTACTCACTACAGTCGCACAGGGTAGTGCAAACTTTCCATCCTTTGGCCATGTTCTAGTCATTCTGCCCAGCTAAATGCCCCGTCTCTAAACACTCATCATGCGCTAAGGAATGTAGGCATTATAGCTTCAAAGAGATCTGAGCTCTAGCAGAGCAGCTGGCCACAGAAGTTGAGGGATGGGGAACTTAGGAGTGGGAAGCCTTCTGAAGCCGAGGAATTAGGTTTCCTTAAACAGGATCGAAGTCATATTGGACAGGTTCTCTCAGGTCCACATTCCAAGCTGCGTTCTCACCACTGGCAGCAAGGATGATTATTATGCCATGCTTTGCTGTGTGTGATTGTATTGGGTGGGTTTGCTTTCAATGGGGTCGACAAAGGATGGACCCTATCTGACTGTATGCATACACTGAATGTGCTTATGTAGGGTTCAGCCTTGGGACTTTTTCTGATGGACATCAAACCATTCAATCCCATTCCTTTATAGGTAGTACAAAGCTGGGGCTGCACACTTCATAAAAATATACAACAGATTTACAGCAGCTGATTCCTTTCAGATTTGCCCACGCAAAGCTGCCGCTGAATGTAGGTTACAATGAATAATTTGTTAGTAGAGTGTGCATGTGTGTGTTTTCCCTTTGGTTGAATTATTAATGGTGAAAAGCAACAATGCATTGTACCGCTGCATCACCCTGTTCACGCCATTTGTTAAAGCCAACCTACCGCTCTGTATGTTGAGGGCATGGTGTTTGTCCAGGGACCATCCTCCGAGTTTGGAAGCATCAATTTCATAACCCTGAAGGACCGCCGTCCTCTTCTCCCACAGGATCAGATCAGGACATGATTCATATTCATAGCCCACGGAAACTGGGAGCAAAGGGGAAAAAAGAAGCCCATAGGTTAATAACCTCAGAAATGCACATTCAGCACACAGCTGAGAGCTTTAATTAGTTGGGGGAAAGGCCATTTCTACAGGCAAGTGCCAATTCTATTTAAAATACCGTCACATTAATGCAGAGTCTTAATATTCTCCTCTTTAAAGGCCACTCTGCATAAAAAAGGTCAACACAGCAGTAGATGTTGGACAAATGTGCTAAATATTCAAAAGGTGCCGACTCACAGACACAATTCAAAGCAATGGGTGACCTAAGGGTTTAGCAAAAATGGTCCCAGAATTCCAAAATGGTAGGATGTTGCTTCTGTTCATTACCTCATGTGCTAAGGCTGCCTGGCAGTGATGCAGGCAGAGAAACGTGGCCCAGTTTAGAAAACAAAACATAATCCAAGCGGGTCTAAATCAGTAAACTCCCTTAAAGTTGACAGACAGGCCAGAGATTAATTTGGGCCGGTATCACTAATACAGACAAAATGGTTGAATGCGAGTTGGTTTTCATAATGTCCAGAGAGTCTTTAGGCCTGATTTACCTCCCTTTCATTGGTGTAAATCAGGAATAACTTCATTAAAGGTAACGTAGTCACACCACTGTAAAATCAGTTTCAGTGAGAGGAGAATCAGGCCCATTATTTTACTGAACACCTACAAGCATAGGCGCCAGCTTCTTCTGGTGCTGGTGGGTGGTTGACTCCGCTCTGCCCCCGACTCAACCCCTGCCTGGCCCGCCCCTGCCCCCATTCCAACCCCTTCCCCATATCCCCGCCCCGGCCCCGCCTTTTCCCCGCCTCCTTCCCTGAGCACGCCACGTTCCCGCTCCTCCTCTATCCATCCCTCCCAGAGAGTGCTACAGCTGTTTGGCAGCAGTAAGCTCTAGGAGGTAGGTGGAGGAGCGGGGACGCGGTTTGCTCAGGGGAGGAGGAGGAGGTGAGGTGAGGTGGGGCAGGGAGCTTGGCTGCCAATGGGTGCAGAGCACCCAATAATTTTTCCCCGGAGTCAGCGCCTATGCCTACAAGAAGGCTTCAGGTGAAACATGCTTTCCTCAAAAGCAGTAAGACCCAAAACCCAGTTCCCCACTAGTACTTGAAGCAGAGCTGGGATCTTCAGTTTTACATTGCTTAGGAGACAAGGGAAAAGCAGGACGTGGAACAACTCTTGGCCCATATAATAAGGGTCTGATCTTGCCAGGGGCCCAGTATCTCCTGAGAAGGGCTGAGCACTGATATTAGGAACTCTGCAGGATCAGACTGGACAGGAGAAATCTGCAGTACAGGGAACAGCCTTGCATTGACAGGGAGATGAGTTGGACTGAACAATCAAAAGACCTTTCCCGCCTCTTTCTGCTACGATTCTGTTTTCAGCTCTTTTGATGAAAAAATATATGTATTTGTCTATATGTGTACTTGGCTAGTAATGTGGTATTTTAAACCTCTGGGCACCTTTGGAGGTTTCCTGAATAATACAAAAAAACCTAGACACAGGTACAAAGTGAAGGGTGTCTTGTAGGTATTTGCCAGAAATAACTTTACTATATCAGAACATAAACCTTTTAGGGCCTCCTTTTCAGACCCTGCCTCTAATTTCACCCCCACCAATCAGGTAGGGAGGAAGCTAAATTCTAGCTGCAACTAACAGTGAGTGTGACATGGGGGACAGGTTGAGGCCTTCATAAAAATCTGGCCCCCAAAGTCACACCAGGTAGGTAATTCTTTCTCTATGAATAGGGCCCTACCAATTTCATGGCCATGAAAAACGTGTCATGGACTGTGAAATCTGGTCTCCCTCGGAGGAGACCAGTGTTTCTCAAATTGGGGGTCCTGACCCAAAAGGGAGTTGCAGGGTGGATCACAAAGTTATTTAGGGGGGTCACGGTATTGCCACCCTTTCTTCTGTGCTGCCTACAGAGCTGGGTGGCTGGAGAGTGGCAGCTGCTTACTGAGGGCCCAGCTCTGCAGACATCAGCGCAGAAGTAAGGGTGACAATACCACACCAGGCCATCCTTACTTCTGCATTGCTGCTGTGGCAGCCGCTCTGCCTTCAGAGCTGGGCTCCCAGCCAGCAGCCACCACTCTCCAGCTGCCCAGGTCTGAAGGCAGCGCCGCCACCAGCAGCAGCGCAGAAGTAAGGGTAGCAGTTCCGCAACCCCCCCTACAATAACCTTGTGACCCCTGCACCAACTCCTTTTTGGGTCAAGACCTCTACAATTACAACACTGCGACATTTCAGATTTAGAGAGCTGAACTCATGACATTGATGATTTTTAAAATCCTATGACGGTGAAATTGACCAAAATGGACCGTGAATTTGGTAGGACCCTAACTATGTGTTATCTGTACACGTTGCTTCATCCAGAGCCTCACTTGTGCGGTGTTACAGGGTCTCATAAGCCTCAGCAGGTCATGTCAACCAACCTCTCCCAAGGAAGCTCAGCCCCATGTATAAGTGGGAATAAGAGACTCACTCTCTCTCTCTGCAGCCTGAGAGAAAGAGCCCCCTGCATATCTCCACTCAGGCTACAGGGGAGCAAAGAGGAGTCTAGTTGCAGGGCTGCCGTTATCCCTGAATTGCTCCAAGAGCAACAAGGAAGAGCAGGATCAGGGGTGGATGTCTGTTGTTTTAAAATAGCAGTGGAGACACCTGGGGCGGGGGCCCACTCATCATGCTGTTGCCATTGCCAAGGCCTGATCTACTCCGCCTGTCTGAACCCTATTGCAGAGCTGTGAGCGAAGGATCATGGCTCCTTTAAAGATTCCTCTGTCAGTCAGACAGGGAGCAACCAGCTGCTGCACCGAGCAGTCACTATGCATGCTCAGTTCCCCTCCCGCTCCGATGTCCTTTCCGCCGCAACTGATTGACAGACATGGCATTTGGGCTGGGTGGGCTCTGTGATGTCCGCGAAAAGGGGAAGGAGCTGTAGCCATACAAGTGTTACATCGGCAGCACAGAGGAAGCTTCCTCCTCCTGTAGGACTTCAGCTTCTTCAGCTGCAGATCCCGCTGGCTACAAACCATGGATGGTGCTGTGCTCAAGAGGTGGTGCAAAGAACACACAGAGCCTGATTCTCCATTGCTTCGCACCTTGGGTAAACGTTCTACAGACGTAGAGGATCGCACAATGTGCAGGGCAGTGGAGAAGCAGGCCCACAATGGTTACGCTGTGCTGACGTTCTGGAAAGGGCAGTGAAGGGAAGAAAACATAAGAGCAGGATAATCTAGGATAAGGTTTGCGTGCTGCCACTTAACAACTTCTTACGGGCAAGATGGAAAGAGAGGAGTGTGTTCTGAGGTCAGCTTACCAAAGGCTTCCGACAGTCCGTACACTTTCTGGCTGTAGACATCCGTCTTATCCCAGATGAAATAATAGGAGAGGTCCGGGGCAGCTGCAAACCACTTTCTAAAGAGGCGTCCTTCTACGGCCACCATAAGGTGGACTTTCATGAGGTTGAAGGGGATGGTGGGATGGGTCATGCTGATCCTCAAGACGGACTTATAGCCAGCCGTGCGGCTGCTCAGGTAACTCAGCTTTATTGTGCTGCCAGCAACGTTAATCTCCTCTTGCAGGGCCTGAGGAAAAACAGCCAGGAGGTGTTAAATCACCACGGAGCAGACACCAAAGTTGCAATTAATCAGACACTTACATCTTCAGAAAAGCTCTCTGAGAAGTTTCTAAACCAGCCCACTTACGAGGCATCAGTTATAAAATATTCACAATGTATAGGGTTATTCGTGGAGGCCAAGGAATGTCTCTCTGGGTGATCTGTGCGGGTGGGGTGGGGTGGGAAGGGCAGGTTAAAAATGCTTACAATGAGATCCAAGCAGAAAAAGGCTCCAACCATCTGTAACCAAGATGCCCCCAGCCAATGCTCCCTTTTCTCCGCTTTGTCCCGTATCTTGCTGTGTTCTGTTGGTGACAATCTTCATCTCCTGGACTCTTTGTGAGACAGTGAGTCTTATTTGTCCCTCTATCCCTCCTCCTGCTGCTATCTCACCTGGTTCCTACCCATCTTCTCCCACCCTGCTCCTGTCCCCTCTTTCCCCAGCTCCAGCCCCACCTCTTGCCAATGTCCTGCCATCTCTGCTTCTTTCTTCCCCTCCTGCCCTTTGCCTTCCTTCTGCTTCTATCCTTCCTCATCCCCTGCTCCTGGCCCTAGCCCCCCTCCGGACTCCTGCTCCGAGCCCCCGTCCCTTGAGCTCTCCTCCCACCTTATTCCTTGTCCCTCTGCATTCCAGACATCCTGCTCCTCCTCCTCCTCCATGTTGCCTGTGCACCAGCAGGGGGAGCACTGAGAGCCCAGGAGAGAAAGTTTTCCTCCTCTCAGTCCCAGTGTCCAGTACTACTGCAGTCCCGGCCAAATGGGACAAGAAACTGCAGAAAAAGTCTTGCTCAGCCCTAGCTGCCCTGGGGATTGAGCATGCTCAGTACCAATGGAATCTTCAGAGAATTGGGCTGCTAAACTCTCACGAGTCTCTACTGAGCATATATGAACTGAGATTTTTGGGAAGGTTTATAACTTGGTTAGTTTAGGGCAAATTTTCTGGGGATGGCGAAAGGCACATCCTCGAAACTAGGGTGGGTCATCCTGCCAAATTTCCAGTCCCTGCTCCAAAACACAGAGGTGCAAGAGCTTCTCAGTGAAATGGCTGTATGATTTTTTTTAACATGAGCACAACAGTGTATTTTCCCCCAACCTTGTTCTTGGAAAAGGCCGAATCATTTTAGCTGGAACTTCCCTCTAAAAAAACAGCTTTAGACAGACGGGGGGAGAGATAGCTCAGTGGTTTGAGCATTGGCTTGCTAAACCTAGGGTTATGAGTTTAATCCTTAAGTGGGCCATTTAGAAATCTGGGGCAAAAATCTGTCAGGGATGGTACTTGGTCCTGCTGTGAAGGCAGATGTCTAGACTCAATGACCTTTCAAGGACCCTTCCAGTTCTATGAGATAGGTATATGTCCATTTAATAATAATAGCCAGCACAGAAAATGTATTAGCAACTGAAAACAGAGTCCTGTCATGGAAACTGAAGGATCTGAAAAAAATGCTTTATAAATAAAAAACAGTCTTCACAACAGCCCTGCCCATTTTATGGATGGGGAAAGTGAAAGACAGAGGAGTTAAAAGGATTTGCTGAAGGTACACAGTCAATGGCAGAGCCAAGAATAGACCACAGGAATCTGAAATTCTTTTTAGTGCACTGCTCTAACCACTAGACTTGACCCCTGTTTGTTGGAGCTTTACACAGCCTCAGTTGTGCTGGAATGCTCCTCATATATGGGTTTTAGATATAAATAACCACCCATCTGGGAAATGAAGCTCCTAAGAGCGGCTGTTTTGGGCTATTATCGAAGAGCTAATACTTTTTCAAGTGATAACTCAACCTCTGAGCGCAGCAGCACTTGACAAACTGATGCATCACAGAAGTTAAAGTACGGCTGCACCACGTCCATAAATATTTACTTTATCTAATGCAGCCTTTTCAATTTACATACCTATGCACTTACGAGGGTGAAAAATGACAGATCTGGGAAAACCCAGGAATTTTAAAATAGCTATGCTGGCAGCAGGCTCAGCTGAGCAGCGATGCAAAGAAGGCGGTCCCTTTCATCTAATCTGTCTTCACATAAAACCCCTACAGGAAAACGCCAGCCAGAAATAATTGCCACCAAGGTATTGTTTTGCAACGTCTGGTTCAATTCGGTGTATGAAATGTTTACTTCTCTCTGCCACAATTGACTTCTCTCTGTCCCTATTGACTACCATTTCAGAGGAAGGGTCAACTGAGTAGTAAATAGGCATCAAACAAATGCCAAGAATAGATTTAAAAGGATCCTGCCTCAAGAGGTGGTTCAAATCGTGAGGCTCACAAGACCTTCCAAAACGGTTGCATATTGTGCTTTGTTGCATTTCACGAGCAATACTGTCCTGGTGATGCACACCCACAGAAAAATGGCATTGGAAAAAGGATGGGCCACAAACTACCTGGAACTTACAAAAGTAACAGAGGCAGAAACTGTCCCCGTATTTCTGTCTATCTGTTAATTAGTACTGTCGCTAGATCCAGAGAGACATATATGCTGTGTTTGTGCAGCACCTAGCACAATGGGGTCCTGGTCTGTGACGGGGTTCTTACATGCATAAATAATACGCTCAATACTCTACAAAAGTGGCCAACCCACTACTAGACTGATTAGAAATAAGGACTTTCTCGTTAAACGTATTAGGAATTCTCTCTGCTTCTTTCTTTTAACCCCTTGATGTCAGCCACAGTCTTGAACTCCTGCCTGTAGCAAAGCCTGCCAGTTTTGCATGCGACAAGTTGAAAAATCTTGATGCTCAATTAAATGTTAACCGAGTTAAATGTTTCTATTCCAGCTACTCCTTCCCCTGCCATCACACACCTACTCCACTGAGCGAGGAAACTATTACTCTGTCCAATTTCTTCAACATGACACACATAATACTCTGACCCGAAAACTGATGAGAAACAAAGACATTTGAATACTGTTATTTTGCCTTTTGGATGACAGATTAATCTGAGGTCCTGAGTGCTTGGGAATTAGCCCTGATGTCCCATCAGAAATTTAATTTAAGAAATTACCAATCTGATTACCTAAATTCCCCTTTCAGTTGCAGGACTCTGTTATTCTGTTGTGTACAGTTAAATAGCTGCAACGCTGTACTCCAGAGATTGCTGCATTTCTGTGAAAGAGCATTTGCATTTCAGACTGCTGAGTACTTTGGAATCCTCTGTAAATGTATTATGTCTCTGCTTTGCTATAGAATAAGCGTTCCTATATCCCTCAAGGAAAAAATGTGATTATGTCCATTGTATCTAACATTTCTCTATTGAGAAGTGTGTCTAATAGAATGCAATGGTAGAATTTCAAGCACTTTTCCACTAGGGTGTTTTTATAATATATGCTACACAATGTGGGAATTATGCAGATGAAGGCAAAATTGGTATTGACTTCAATGGGGGCAGGATTTCACCCCAACAATATTCTCTTCAGGCTAGAAGGTTGAAAGTTCTGTTCCCAAACGGTGGGAAAGTTCAATTCCAAAATTCTGCCCCAAAGCAGAAGAGCAGCATTAGGCATTTTAGCAGTGGGTGCTGAAACGTACCCCGAAGGTCTGTTACATCCTAAAATGTGTCCCACAGCCACCCTTTTTCGGTAGACGGGAGGTGAGGACAAAGCAGAGGCAGTGCAGTTTTTGCTGCTGGTGAATAAGCACGTCATTATCTATCTGTCAGAGATGAACAAAACCAAGCATTATGGCCAAGCGTCGATTTTTGATTTTTAAAAGTCTGTAAATATACAGTGTAAATTAAGCAAGGCCTCTAGGCTTCTGGAAAGCTGCCAGTGAAGCCCAAATCGGTGTCACAAAATGTTTTAACAAGTACAGAAACGGAATAGGATGCGCATAGCTCCAAATGCACTGCTCCTCTTGACTGCCTGGAGCAAATGTTTCACGTTAGAAAGAAGATTCATACCTGAATTTCTGGAACAATGGGGCCTTTCTCGGAACAGGAACTTGCAAATGCTGTCAGGGGGGACGGGGAGACCACGGGGTTGGGACGGGCAAAGTTGCTGAGATCACAGCTTGGAATCTCATTCTCTTCATGCCTCATGACTATGGTTTCCATTACAAAAAAGCGATCCCAGGGTAGCCAGAGCGTGTGTTCCTGAGTGATGAAGGGAGCCCGCTCGAAGTGTAAGATAATGGAAATCCCACCATTAGTGACGAGATCAAAGCTGTTTTTAAGAGACAAAGTAAAAATAAAAATAAAACAAATGATACTTGATATGTCTAGAGCCTTCCAAACAGGAACCTCACTGTGAAAATATTAAAGGATTAACCCTCACAAAACCTCTGTGAGCTAGAGAAGTATTATCACTCCTATTTTACACATGGAAAAACTGAGCCACAACAAGGTTAAATGACTGGACAAGGTCATACTGTAAGTAAGTGGCAAAGCTAGGACTAGAACCCCTGGGTCTTGACAGTCAGTCAAGAGATATAGTTATTAAACCACACTCTCTTCTTTTTAAAAGACAAAATTTATGTTTGTGATTGCTCTTCTGAGTTATTGGACCTCAAAGGTTTTATTTACTATTTTTAAAAATGTGTTTAGGATCCAATATCAGTCACAGATCGCATGGACTTACACATTTAAATAAACTATCTGGAAAGCAGTTTCTCCTTCACTTACCTGCCCAGACTTCAGTTCTGGGTTATGTTTTCCCTGCAGCCATTGTTGACCTCACTAACATACTGTTTCATGTGTTAGCGACAGCATCACCCACTAGGGCAGGGAGAACATGGATCAAGAAAGAAATCATTTTGGGACAGATGAGTGGAAGGAGAAGGAGCTGATTTTACAGTAACTTGGTTTAAAATGTAACAGTCTGATTTTCAGAGGAGCTGGATGCCCACGGCTCCCACGAAGGGGAGCCCAGCACCTCTGAAAATCAGACCATGCACGGATTTGGAATTTTTATCCCTAAGTATGGACCCTGCGCTTTACACAACACAGAAAAATAAAGATGGTCCTTACTCCAAAGAGCTCATAATCCAAACTGCCCTTGCTTTGCTTCTTTATAATTTATAGCGAAGGCATAGAAGTGTTTCAGTCTGATTTTTTTCCCTTGCTTGCTTTTTCATTAGAACTTCACATCTGGAAGATTTACGAAATGCTGCAGAACTAATGACATAATGACATCACAAGAGCTAAGAAAGTGAAAGTAGAGTAATTGAAAGGGAAAGGGATTTTAGTCAGATTTTAAAGCCATTGGGGTTTTCGTTGACTTGTTTTAACATCTATTTAACTTCAATGCCTAAATAACTTTTTGGATAAAGTCTTTGTTAGACAACACCCCTGCATCTTCAATGAAGGTGTTAGGCTCTGATTTAAGATATTTAAGCATGTTCATAGGTGCTGACTCCATGGGTGCTCCGGCGCTGGCTCTGCACACACTGGCAGCCAAGCTCCCCTCACCGCCCCCCCCGATCTTCTCCTCACCCCCCACCCCCCCCGAGCGCACCACGTCCCAGCTCCTCCGTCTACCTCCCAGTGCTTTCCGCCCGGCCACCGCCAAACAGCTGTTTCGCAGCGTTAGCACGCTCCAGGAGGGAGGGGGAGGAGCGGGAATGCGGCGTGCTCAGGGGAGGAGGCGGGGCCGGGGTGGGGATTTGGGGAAGGAGGGAAAAGGGGCAGGGAGGGGGTGGAGTTGGGTGGAGACTTTGGGGAAGGGGTTGGAATGGGGGCAGGGCAGGGGTGGGGCCTCATGGAAGGGGTGGAGTTGGGGCAGCGCCAGGGACAGAGGGGGGTCAGCACCCATGGGAAAGAGGGAAAGTCGGTGCCTATGACCATGTTCATAGCTTTTAGCATGTGAATAAACCCACTGACTTCAATATAGTACTACTCATATGCTTTGAGATAAGCATGTGGTTAAGTACCATCCTGAATACCTTAAGGGCTTTTCTACACTATAGCTTAAATAGATGTAACTTACGTCGCTCAGCAGTGTGCCCCCCCCCACCGAGTGACATAAGTTACATTGACTTAAAGCGGTGTCTACACTGTGCTATGTTGGCAGAAGACACTCTCCCACTGACATTGCTTCTGCCTCTCATTGAGGTGTAGTAATTACATGGACGGGAGACATAGCGCGCCTTCACCAGATGTGCTACATCGGCGCAGATGTTTGCATCGGTGCAGCTGTGCCGATGTAGCGCGGCAGTGAAGACAAGCCCTAAAGTGCCCTGAAACGCCCAAATAAATCCTCAAGAAAAACCAAGAAAATCCAGTTTTGGTGCAGGTGATATTTCTAAAGAGAAAAAAAAAAAGCAGATTTTTTTAAATTAATTAAAAAACTTTCCGACCTTCTTCATAGATCACAGAGAAGCAAAAAAGAGCTCAGCCACATTTTAAAAAGACCCTTAGCGGGTCACCGTAAAGACTTGTTTTTTCATCCATGATCGTCATTTGGATGTATCTTAGACTCTGCTTAGTGAATATAGTTATGAAAAAAAGGTTATTCAAGTCCACAGGGCACGGGGAGAGCATTTTAAAAGCTCCAGACGTGTAAGGTGTTTATTCTGCAACTCAAGTGGGGCGTCAACTTCCCAGACTTATTGTAACTTGGCTTTTAAAAGCCTAATGGGTAACTCACGCCCTGGCTTGCCAGCTAGCTGAACAGCATTTGTGCATCGATGAGGACATTTTTAACAGTCAATTAGCATTTGGCAAGCCCTGCTACTAGAAGGGAAAAGCTCACTTCGCACAAGGCTGAGCACTAAAGAGGGCGAAAGAAGGAAGGGATAAATGTAAAAAAAAATTATGTTCAACAACTGTTGGAAAACCAGGAATGGTTTATTTATAGAAACATCTCTGCTTCTGTCACTGGTGAGCAGAGCTGCTAGGAGCCCTGGACTCTAATGAGCTTTGGTCAGGCATGTTAGCCTGCAGGGAAAAAAAGCTTGCTTCTCCTGTGGACGTGAAACCCAAGCCAGAAGGGAAGGCATCGATCTAATGTCAGACTCAAGCAGCTGTGAAAACACAGAGGCTTGCATTGTACGGCAAGAGACACCGCCACTCAACAGCTACTGTTTCTCGAGTTACATGGCTTAGCCTTGAAGCGTATGAATATAGAGCATTTTGGAGCCCGCGGCAGCAAACCTCTCAGCCTGGGATGATAGAGTTGGGTAACGGGGCTCGCGCTAGAACTCTAAAAATAGCTGTGTAGACAGTGCTTTTAAGTTGCAGCTCAGGCTCTGATGCTTGGGAAGGGGGGCAGGCTGGGAAGCTTGCTCCCGCAGGCTCCAAAATGCTGTGTAGATATACCCCAAGGTGCCTAGATGGAAAAAAAAAACAACCAGCAGTGAAATAAAAATTAGTATCAGCAAAATTCTCTTCAGGATGAAAGCCCTAAATAACGCTTTCAGGTGGGCTGCTGATCTCAGGGATGGGTGGGTGCGACACAGAGGCTCCCTGGCAAAGTGCCCCCTGTTCTTTGCAAACAACTCTCACCTCAGACTCGACAAACTCACTACACCAAACACATGTGTTGTGGGATACTTATCCATAAAGAGTAGCATGTAAGGTATCTACAGAACACTTGTAACTGGTCAAGATTCATAATCATTGTGAGATGTATGTGCAGGTAATATTTAAAGCATAATGTAATTATGCTGAAAGTATACTTTATGGACGTGGAGTAAAAGTGAGTCACCAGGGGATAAAATATCTCAGCAATGGCCCATCCTAGCAGGAGGGAGTTGTTACCCCGCCTTGGTTAGCCAGTGATGCAATGCAAGCCTCAATTGTCTAGCCTTGCCCCATCCCAAACCTTTCAATGGAAAACCATCAGCGAAAACTGCAAACAGTCAAAACCACTTGCGGAAAAAAAAGGAACATTACAGCAGCCAGAGAATCACCCTGCCTAGGAGTAAGACAGAAGACTGTTTCAGTATAGCACAGTGGGGAAAGGCACTCTGTGTCCTTTCACCTTGGGGAGCAGCAACGTTCCCATGAAAAATTGGATCCTGGTTCCTATGAAGCCAGCCAGCTCTGCAACAGACTGAACTTGGGGGAGGCGGGCGGAGAACCTACTTAATTAGCTAGGAAAGGTACCTATGGACAAGGGTAGACTCAACTTCGCATTATATGATTTGGTTTTGTATTGTAACCACTTGTTTCCACCATTCTCTCTTGTTTCCTGTTAATGCTCTTTCTTAACCAAACCTATTTTTGTTTTATTCAGTGCTCACAAGTGCTGTGTGATTTTACAGGAGTGGTGGTTTAAGGTCAAACTGGTAAACTGGGTACCCTGCTCCTTTGGCACAGAGGATCTGGGATTTCTGTGAGTAGCCAGTGTCAGGATCTGGATACCACAGGGGAATGATTCAAAGGATTCGGGGACTGGAGTGCACCTCTTGTTAAACCTGCAAGGCAAAGACTGGGCTGGCACAGCCCAGTGGAGGGTGGTGGAGTGATTGAAAGGCTGGTGGTGTTAGAGAGCTGACACCCAGCCACCATGGGAAAGGCGACCTCTTGCTAGAGGCAGAGGGTAACAAGGTGACTCACAGTCCTGGGTGCCCTGAGAACTGTCACAATGGGCTTTCTTCCATTTGCAAAAAGTCATATTACTATATGGACTTATTGTTTTGGTTATCTTAGAAAGATACCCAATGGACAGTCCAGGAGACTGACGTCCTCTCTTTCTCCCAGAACAGGCTCTGCAGAGATAGCAGCAGTGCACTGAGATCATCCAACACATTTCACCAACATCTATAAGATGGTAACGATTGCTGGTCACGACCCACTACCAGTGTGATCCAGCAATCTAGTGGTGAAAAGATTTATTTTAAAATATATTTTATAATCCATTACCAGGCCCCTGAGCCCTCTGGTTCTTCTATTACAGGGGTGGGCAAACTTTTTGGCCCAAGGGCCACATCGGGGAATAGAAATTGTATGGCGGGCCATGAATGTTCCCAAAATTGGGGTTGGGGTGCGGGAGGGGGTGTGGGCTCTGGGGTGGGATGGGGGATCAGAGGTTTGGGGTGCAGGAGGGTGCTCTGGGCTGGGATCAAGTGGTTTGCAGAACGGGAGGGGGATCAGGGCCAGGGAGGGGGTTGGGGCGTGGGGAGAGGCTCAGGGGGTGCAGGCTCCAAGCGGTGCTTACCTCAAGCGGCTCCCGGAAGCAGTGGCATGCCCCTTCTCCAGCTCCTACGTGGAGGCATGGCCAGGCGGCTCTGCCTCTCTGCCCCGTCTGCAGGCATCGCCCCTGCAGCTCCCATTGGAGCGCGTAGGAGTCAGAGCGGGGCTATGCCACGGCTTCCAGGAGCCGTGTGGTGCGGCCCCCAACCCAGTGCTCCGGACAGAGCGGGACCGAGCCACACGGTGCGGCTCGCGGGCCGGCTTAAAACAACTCGCGAGCTGGATCCGGCCTGTGGGTCGTATTTTGTCCACCCCATTCTATTAGCTTTGGGTCACAGAAAAGTCAGACATACAATAGTACATTCTGAAAACTGTCTGTTTATCCTTATGCCTTGGGATCTGAAAGATACATGTATCATGATAAATAGTTTGAGAACACATATGGGCCTTTAATTTATTCTCATTTTCTGGGGTTATTTAATGCAATTTAAACTGGGATGAAGTCCTGGATCCACTGAAAACAATGGGAGTTTTGCCATTGACTTCAATGGGGCCAGGATTTCACCCCTGGAGTTTACAGTTGACTGCTGTGACAACAGGGTGAAATCCACTTATAGTAAACCAGAATATAGTGAAACTATTTACAGCGAAATAGAATTCAAGTCCTAATTTGTTACAGTTCATTGCAATTTGAAAATTGGAATTCCAGTTATAATGAAATTCATTTTAGGCCTTCTCTATACAAAAAAGTTGCACTGATTTAATTAGATCAGTTTAGAAACCAATTTAGTTAAATAGGCACGATTCCCTTGTGTGAACCTTCGTATTCTGAGACCACAAGGGGGTTGCACTGATTTAACAAAATTGGATTCTAAACTGATTCAGTCAAATTGGCGCAAATTGCTTGTGTAGACAATGTCTCAGGCTAAAATTGTTCTGTTGAAAAGATTATTAGAAGAGGGTCCTGCTGTTGTAACATATTGAAGTATGGAACAGCAATTGTAATAGCAATAATGCTTTCCATTTTGAAAGCACATCCCATGTAGTATTTAATCCACAAATACCCCAGCGAGGCAGGAAGGAAGTGTTACCTTCATTTTACAGGCAGGTTAACGGTGGCATAGGGAGATTAAGGGATGTATCTAAAAGCTACATACTAGATCAGCAGCCGAGCTGTGACTAAAGCTCAGGACTTCTTGACTCTCACTCCCACCTTTAGAATACGGTACCTTCAATATTTCAAGTGATTTTATAAATAGCCCTTGTACCATATCAGTGAATAATTAACTACACCTCTACCCCGATATAACGCGACCCGATATAACACGAATTCAGATATAACGTGGTAAAGCAGCGCTCTGGGGGAGGGGGAGGGGCAGAAGGGGCTGCGCACTCCAGCGGATCAAAGCAAGTTTGATATAACACGGTTTCACCTATAACGCGGTAAGAGTTTTTGGCTCCTGAGGACAGCATTATATCGGGGTAGAGGTGTAATTTTTTGTTCTTTAAAGGAAGAATGCTTTCATCTATTCATACACTACCTCCCTCCAGTGCACGCAGATGTAGTGTTGTGCCTGATCATGCAAGAAAATAGATGAGTGAATGTCAAAGACAATATTTTGGGGCCAATTATAGTCTCATTCTCATGTTTCAAGCTACTCAGTAATGTAATCAGACTATTTGTTGAATAGCATGTTCTGAAAGGTTGTTAGCACAAAGCACCAGACCTGAACGACAGTACCACATAAGCAGAACATAATGAGGGGAAATCATAAGGAAGTATGCACGAGTGCAAGAGCTATCTAACGCCTCCCGTTCTGGGACTGGGGGTCTCCAGCAGTTACTGATAGGAATGCTAGCCTGGTGCTGGGACTTATACTCTACGTTCAGGCACTGCTGATCGCTGCCTTTTTATCACTTTAACTGAATATAGTACTAGTGATCAGTGCTGGATTTACAGCCCTTGGCAGTGAGCTCCTGGGAGCGGCTCTATCCGATGCCAGTTGGCAATGTTTCCCTAGGGACCATTAGCTAACTGGGAATTGGTGGAGGACACTGGCGCATTGGCCACACCTCTCCCTGCCGCGCTACACTGAGGTTGGGCAGGAGGTGATGTAAGAGCCAGTAAGTCTAGCTTTACACAAGCTGAGAACTCCCCTCCACCAGGGACATTCTCTGCTGGTGAGATAAGATGCCTGAGTGGTGCAAAGGGTCCAGATGGTGGCAGAGAGTGTGGCTGTGAGTGAGCACAGGACGGAAACGCTGTTTCACCTATCCTTTCTAGGGGTATTTCCTGTACAAAATTAGTGAAGCACAGCCTGGGGTTGTATGGAAGAAGCTTGCTCTGCTGTGCTGCCTGTACTGTACCTGTTCTGTAGGGGGTAAAAGTGATGCCTGTCCAGAGGGCCTGTACAAGCCCTGTGGAACACTAGCCTCATTATTTGCTTATAAGCCCCAATGGTGGATCAGGGCCCTGACAATAGGTGGAGACCAACAGACAGAGCACAAGGAAACAATGAGAAAATGCCGGTCAGCAGGAAAAACAGGGAGTTTCAGCACATCAGCTGCCTACCTATGGTTTGGTTTTTTGTAGGCATTATTATTTTTCCTTGTGTAGGCTTATGCCAGCCCTTTACACCGCAGTGAATTTGACCTCTAGGGCCTGATTCTGATCTCACTTGCACCAGTGCAAATCAGGAATTGTTCCACTGAGGGTATGGCTCCACCACAGTGGCTATAGTGCCACAGCTATGCGGCTACAGCTGTGTGCTGCTGTCACGCTGTTGTGCAGATGCTGTGTCCAGTTTTGGGCCCCACACTACAAGAAGGAGGTGGAAAAATTGGAAAGAGTCCAGCGGAGGGCAACAAAAATGATTAGGGGTCTGGAGCACATGACTTATGAAGAGAGGCTGAGGGAACTGGGATTGTTTAGTCTCCAGAAGAGAAGAATGAGGGGGGATTTGATAGCAGCCTTCAACTACCTGAAGGGGGGTTCCAAAGAGGATGGAGCTCGGCTGTTCTCAGTGGTGGCAGATGACAGAACAAGGAGCAATGGTCTCAAGTTGCAGTGGGGGAGGTCCAGGTTGGATATTAGGAAACACTATTTCACTAGGAGGGTGATGAAGCACTGGAATGCATTACCTATGGAGTCTCCTTCCTTGGAGGTTTTTAAGGCCCGGCTTGACAAAGCCCTGGCTGGGATGATTTAGTTGGGAATTGGTCCTGCTTTGAGCAGAGGGTTGGACTAGATGACCTCTTGAGGTCCCTTCCAACCCTGATATTCTATGCTTCTATGATTCCTACATCAATGGAAGTGGTTTTTCCACCTATCCGAGAGGCGGTAGCTTGGTCAATGGAATTCTTCCCTCAACCTAACTACACCTCTACCCTGATATAACACGACCTGATATAACACGAATTCGGATATAACGCAGTAAAGCAGTGCTCCGGGGGGTCGCGGCGGGGCTGCGTGCTCCGGCGGATCAAAGCAAGTTCAATATAACGCGGTTTCATCTATAACGTGGTAAGATTTTTTGGCTCCCGAGGGCAGCGTTATATCGGGGTAGAGATGTATGTCTACGGTGGGGTTAGGCTGACATAACTAAATTGCACAGGGTGTGATATTTTTCACAGTCCTGAGCGATGTAGCTAGGTTGACCTAGGTTACACCACAGTGTAAATGTGAAAGATTCTGTATCTGTCTCTAAACCATAAGACTTGCGAAAGCACCAGCTTCTCTTATAAGGTATGCTCATTTAACTGAGATAATCCATTTTCCATGGAAATGTACCTATTACTCAAATTCTACTGTTGTATTTTCCAGTAGATGAAACATTAATGAGAACAGATCTTGAAAAGTTTCAGTGGTTCAGTAGGCACCAAGTCCCATGGGAACACGCCAAGACTACATAAGGCACACATCTCTAGCAAGTGTTCATCTCCTTCATTATCACCCTGTTGGCTATTCTAGCCAGGTCAATCCAAATCCTTAATGCTAGTGTCAGATTGGAGAGCTGTTAAAATCAGCAAAGCCGGGTCATCCTCTCCAAAGTGCTAGGGTTAATCACCATTAGCTAGAGTATGTGCAGCTCCATCAGTCAGAAACTTACTCCTTATATTTAGAAGAGAGCCAATTAGCATTGAGAGACAAAAGATTGCCCAGTTCACAGTGATTTTTTTATGGTTCAGTGGAACTGTTCAAATTTTAACCACTTGCCTTTAACAATACTGTATCTTACAGGTTTAATTATTTTTGCCCAATAATGTCTATATAAAGCAATGAAGCATATGCAGTTTGGGGCAGGAACCATCATTTCTTTATATGCGTGGACAACACCTACCACAACTGAGCCCCAGTGCTTCTATGCACTTCTGTAATAATATCAGTATCAATATTAACAATTAACTGGTGTCTTCAGGCTGCATCAGACATGACTGTGTCTTTGCTAGGATAGTCTCTCTCCAGTGCTGGCTCCACGATTTGCAGCTCTTGGTACGTACATACTGTAAAATGTATAGCAGAAACCATACCTGCCATCTTGCCTGCTGATTGTGTATCCAAAAAAAGGATTGTTGACAAAGCTGATGTTCACTCCAACTAGAGGGGTTCCATCTGATGTTATGACCTGACCTCGAATCACACACGCATGGCTGCAAGAAGGAAAGAAATGATAGGAAATGGTGAATCATGTCAAAGATGAGGGAGTGATCCCCGACTTACCCTGCTGTGAATGCCTGCACACCAGGATACCTAATACCATACGCAATAAAATTCATACGCCAAATCGTGCCCCCAGATGGAGGCACATAGCTCTTGCTGACTTGGGTGTTGTGCACACACATCTGAGAGCAGAATTTGGCTTCACCTTTTTTCTACTCTTGTCATAGTCAACCACTGGCAAATATACTGTTCGCTGTTATCTTCTCCTGAACAGCACATGATATACTGACATGGCTATACCTCACTCAGCTTCACAGTGCCTTGACAGTACTGGTCTGATTAAGGACAAAACATGTTTTAGAACAGAGGAGGATGGAAATGTACCAAATACTGTATGGGCAGGTTTATGGCAATTAAGTCCTCTGATGATCAAAGAGATGCACTGGCCTTGATGAGCCAGGTCTTCCATATTCCATAAGGAAGTGTTATTGCTTTGAAGAAAATATGACGACAAATTTGCCAGAATCAGATGTGTTCCTTATAGAACGTTACAGCAATTGAGCATGCAAACAACAGAACAACATGCAAACAACAGAACAGCCGGTTGCTGTAGATTACACCTACTCCATTCTACTCTGCACTTTTATGACACCTTTCCCCCAAGGATCTCGAAGTGCTTTACAACACCGATTAATTCTGTGAGGTTCGTATTTTACAGATAGGAAACATGAAGTATGTTGAGTTTTTCAATTACTCAGGGTCACTCAGCAAATCTGTGGCAGGGCCGAACATAGAACCATAGGTCTCTATTCCAAAGTCTCTGTTCAAAGCCCTAGATTGTACATCTTACCATACGGCTATGCAAGAAGCTTCCAAAAAAGACAAAAATCTTGTGTATCTGATAGTGTCTGATCTCAATGTCTATCTCAAGGTACTTATTTTTCTGAGTGATAACAACATAATAGGACGTGTGATTTTTGCAGGCAATGTCATGCTAGCCAGCAGAGACTGGAAACCAATGCTCCTACTGCTTTAGGACCAGATCCCCTGCTGGTGTAAATCACCAGAGCTCAATTTATAATCCATCTATTTGTAGTAAGAGAATTCAGTGGAGCCACATGGATTTATAGTTGCTGAAGATCTGGCCTTCAATGCCTAGGAAAGTACTTACATGATCTCTTATTACCATGGAACACCACAGAGTCCACAAGTTATTGCCTAAGGGGTGCATCAACACAGCAAAGCTTGTACGGCACAGCGAGAACCAATATTTGTAGCAAGTAAGGATTTCACTGGATATTTATTCCATGACATAGAAGATAGACTTTTTAGTTGTCATGCCATCCAGTTATAGCAGAACTCTCCATTGATTTAAGAAGAGATTTTCGTGCATATGTTGATGGTAGAGTATGACTCAAAAGTTGGCATTTAGGTAAACAGAAACAAAAGCTCAAAGTTCAACTCCAGTATCTACTCACTTGATTCCCATGTTCCCCTTGGTCAGTCCCAGAGAAAACAAGATATAATGCACCGGTTTTTTATTTCACTTATATTAGTTTTACTCTGGTGTAGCTCCAATGACTTCAACAGAATTACTCCCAATTCACACAGATGTGAAAGGAGGAGCAATCCCATCAGTAAAACAATAATAATTTCTGTATTCCATTGCACCTTCCATCCAAGGATCAAAAAGCACTGTATTAACAATTCAGCTCTGTGACATCAGAGGACACTGGGTAAATGACCATCCCTGTTTGACAGATGGGGAAATGAAGACACAGAGGGCCAAATTCACCCTATTGTAACCCCACTGAAGTTGACAGAACACTACCAGGAAAGTATTTGGCTCACAGTAGTAAAGTTTGTGGACCCAGCCAGGGGCAGTACCCATAACTTCCATTCTGAGGCCTCAACATTATCCACAAAACCATTCTTCTCATCTTCTTCAGTGAGAGCTGAAGGAGAGTCTGAAATGGTCACCAAGTCCTTGAGCCTTCTGATCATCCTTACATTTTGTGGAAGGATAAGCATCACTGTGGACTCCTCTTCTGAAGCCCAAGAAATTCTTGCTATTGGGAACAATGGACTCGGCAGGCTGAATTACCATTACCTATTCAAACCAACACTAAAAGCATTACTGACGGCTGCTTGCTCATTTGAAAGTGGTTGCGCTGAAATACAAATAAAGCACATTTTTATGAGATAATGGAGAAGGGTTGCTACCTTCTTCCACTGCCTCCCCACAAACTACAAGCAAAGAGAAAAAAAGAGACTAAATGTTGTAGATGCCTTAATTGGTGCCCTAGGCAAAAGACAACTAACAATTAGGATGGTAACTCTCCCAGAGTCTAAGCAGATGAAAAAGCCTGTGAGTAAAGTTGTAGCCAACACACTGGACTAGATCCTCAGCTGGTGTAAACAGAACTTTGCTGCTTTGCACCAGCTGAGGATCTGGCCCATAGCTTTCATGAGTTCAGGGGGACTCAGGACTGCAGGGATAAAGAACAGCCACAAGTTACAGGCACAATAAACATAGGCAAAAGAACTCACTCTAAAGCGGAAACTCTAACAAACACATCTGCACTTCTAGCTTCCATTGAGTGACCCCCTCCCTTTCTCAATAACTCTTCTATTTGTCATGCTCAGCTTCTTTGCTCCATATTTCTTTGCTTGCCGATTTGGACTAAGACAGCCCATCTTCAGAGACAAGTAACTCTTAGGAAAGCCTACCTGGCCCCCAGGAATCCCCGTGAGGGCTATAGCGACTCCTTTACTCCCAGAGGGTAGTTCTTCTCAGATCATAGTCATAAAAAGAAGCTGGGGCAGTGTGCGTACAAATATCTGAACTTAATTAAAGCGGGATGGAGATGAGAAAGATACTGAATCCCAGATTTTGCCTGATCAGATCCTCAAATTTTCTACTTCTCCAGTTGATAAAATTTGCCCCATTTGGGAAAAACAATTAACGCTGTGCTTTGTAAGCAGCTGGCCTCTCCAGTGTCATCGTGTCCTTTCTGGAGGCAAAATCGACTACCCACAATGCACTCAGCCCCCCAGGAACCTGGTTAATGCTAATTTAGTCAGCCATTTCCTTCAGAAGACCTTGGTCTAAATGCAATTACACTACAAACACGTTAAGTGGTACTGCAAAGACTCTCAGCCCTGCTCGGAAGGTCTCCCAATATATTTACATAAAATTATCTCTCATGTTAATAGGGAAGATTTATTCCATCAGTCTAGTTTGGCCAGCACTGAAGATGTTTTCTGCAGTTGAGCAAAATTGAATGTCTCTTTGCTGTAGACTTGTCTTTCCAATGAATTATTAACATATTTCATCCACTGGCTGAACTATTTTTTTTCAGACTGCGTTTACATGTGGCTGTGCAGATCCCTTGTTTTACAATAACCAGTTCTCCAGTCTGTTTTTTTAATTAGCCTTTCCCAACCCCTCTGGTCTTTTATTTTTCTATAGAGGTTTCCCTATAATTAGGGAACACTAAATCATTGCCGAATTGCTACCATGTGGCTTGCTAGATGGCAAGTCTGAGACAAAGTAATTTTAGACCATTGCTTTGTGAAGTAATTTGTAATCACTAGAAGATTAAGTTAATGTCCACCTGTCCCCCTGGGTATGATCTAGGGCCCAGTGCCATCAAAAGTAGAGACACATTCACTCTCCCCTTCCACAGCTATAGAGAGAGTACTGTTTTCTTTAGTAAGACCTGTATTTACATGCGGGGTGGGTGGGAATCCAAGTATGCCAATAGTTATAAAATACTAGAAATCAAAGGAAAAATCCCAACTAGGTCATTTAATCCATCTTTATGCCAAGAAAGATTGCTCCCTACAGTATGTTTCCTAGCTCTTTGTCTGGTTTAATGTTAAACATCTCAGGCAGTGGGATTTCCAAAGCTTTATTATTAATAATTATTTGTTTAGTGCTGGAAATATGCTTGGCATTGTACAGTAGACAAAATAAAGACATTCCTTTTCCTGAAGGACTTCCTTGGGAAATTTTACCATAGTCTAACATGGTCTAATCTGGTGCTTGTTGAAACTGATGGAAATACTCTCATTGACTTAAAACAGACATTGGATGAGGCTCATAGATTTCACCATTAGGAATTATTTTCTGGTCTTTATGCTAATTTTTCCTTTTCTTAGCGTTACCCCATTACTCCTAGTCACAATCCATTGTATCACAACCCCAGCTCCTTTTTTCCTGGAAGTTGAAAGGCTTTAAATACGTTTGGATGATTAACATGACCTCCCCACCTCCTCAGCCATGTTTTGGCCATGTTATTTGTATCAAATATTTTTAATCTCCACTCAGAATTCCCCACATCCCTATATTCGTTGTTGTTACTTTTCTATAAGTTACTTCCAACTTCGTTTGACATCTTTTTAGTACCGAGGTGCCCAGAACTGAACATTCTGTTCTAGATGGGGCTCCACCAGAGCTCCACAAAGTGAATCAAGAGGAAGGACGTTTCTGTTGTTAAAGCCCTCATGTCAAAATCAGAAGATCTAGCTTCTATTCCTGGTTCTGCCACAGATTTTCAGTGTGGCCTTGGGCAAGTCACATAGACTCTCTGTGCCTCAGTTCCCTATCTGTAAAATGGGAATAATAGCACTGCTCTACCTTACCGGGACATTGTGAGGATAAACTGAGTAATGTTCTATTGTCTTAGACGTAGGTACTTATACTGCTACGGTATTGTGGTACTGGTTTGTGATGTGTCCAGATACCTTGGTGATGAATGCCAGAGAAAAATCCTACCAATAAAGCAAGTCATTACAGATGTAGTCTTGGGTCACTTGCTGCTGTCATCCTTTTGCTCATTTATAGCACAGGATACAGTATAACATACAATCCCACTCTACCCCTGGAAGCTAGTGCCAATGGCAGTGCTAACCTAGTGCAGTTCCTGGACCCTGGCCTCCCAGTTATGAGGGAGAAGACTCCTTACACTCTCTTCCTGCACAGGGT